TAAGACATTTATGTTCTACACTTGACAGATTTGACCTGTACCCTTGCAATATGCTTCATAGGTGTGGTCCCACCTTTTACCCTCATCAGGGTTATTTTAACAAATTGCTTTGCAGCCTATAAGCTAGGAAGAAGCAACAGGTTAAGGCCAGGTTTGCTATGATGTAGCAGGCAAGTAAGGAGAGCACAGCACAGTAAGAAGGTGTGGAGTATTCTGGACAGATGAGGCTGTGCACATTGGTAGCTTAGGTGCAGGGGACAGTGCAGAGCAGGCTGTGAACGAGAAAGCACTGAAAGGGAAGAAAGAGGGACTGGAGAGGGAAATGGAAGGGTATCAAGACTCCTTCCAACCCAGTATTTCTCCATCCTTCAGTTTTGTATGGACCCAGGAGGCTTAAGAACAGAATTTTGTCTTGGAAGTTAAGAAGATCTGCTAATCAGCTTTATGATCTTGAGCAAGTCATTTAACCTCTCCAAGTTTGTTTATCCATAGTAATAACCACACCAAATGGGGTGAAGTACCATGAAGGGTTCTTTACACAGCAGCTCTACAGAGACCTTTCATTTGTACAGATGAGAAAATTTAGATACAGAAAGGGTACTAACTTGCCCAAGAATATGTGACAGGCACTGGCAGAACTTGCATTTGAACTCATGTTAGTCAGACTTTGGGGCCAAGGGTCATCTCCCTGGGCCCATAATATACCTTATGAGTAAAATGCAAAGCCAGGGACCTTCATGATTCCTTGTGTTCTAACATTAAGGGCTGTGTTCATACTCAGTACCTCACCCCTGATTAGGTCAGCTGCTCTTTCTGAAGACTGTGTATATCTTTCAAACTGTTCTAGCCATCTGAGGTCCTGATGTTTGTTTTGTCCAAAGCTCAACACATCATGCCCCCTTAACAAAATCTGTTTATCAGACAAGAGTCAGACAACTGGTATCCCTGGCCTTTGGGTAATAGTAAAAGCTCCATCTCTGAGGTACACTCCATTCATAGTGTGAAGCTAAGCTCTCACAGCCGTAATCTTCAGAAAGAACCTTTTCTTTCTTACACCATGCAGTTGCCTAGTGCTTAGGCAAATTACTAACCGATATGTTTTGGTGTTTGAAAGACTGGACATTGGCTGATAGTTTCAAAAGTATTTTAGTCTATCTTTGTAGGCAATGGTATGATTATCATTCTCTAAGGGTGATATCCATGTTGGATTATCCCATATGCTAATCATTTGCCCCGAGGGAGATCCTGCTTGTATACAAATTAGAGATCCAACTTAATCCTACACCCACTGCTTTCTACATATCTGAATAAAATATTTTTCATAAGGATATTCATCTTAGAAAATACATTCCTTTTTTTCTGGAATTTTTCTTTGAGGTAGTTATTTCTAAATTTAAGAATGCAGTGGTAGGCCCATCTTTTTTGCTTCACATCCATGACTTACTAATATAGGTAATCATCATCCTGCCTTCTTTTTTTGTTTTAGATTTAGAATTTTCCCTAAATAACAACTCCAGAAACTCCAGAAGTTACCTAATTAGTGATTCACTTTGCAAATGAAGAAAGCATTTCCTAGCTAGTTGATTCAGTTAGTTAGAGCAGGTTGCTAATAATTAGGCCACAGCCACGGGTCTTGGCTCTGTGCGGGCCGGTTATGAGTGCAGCAATCTCACAAAGGTGAAAGTATGGCTGTGCTCCCAGGAAGGACCAGGTAAGACTGCAAGGCCTCAATAGAGATCCATTCCCATTTAGAAGGGGAAAAAAGTTGCTACTGAGTCAGTCAGTATCACATTGGAAATACAGCACATCTTAAATAAAAAGAGAAGGAAAGAGAGGGTGGAAGGGAAAGGGGAAAAAAGAAGGCGGAGGAGAGGGAAGAAGGGAAAAGGAGAAAGAGGGAAGCGAGGGGAAGAGAAAGTAAAAAGGAAGGTAAGGAGAGAAAGAAGGAAAACCAACAAATAATAGTAGACAAGTTCATGGAGACAAATAATAAAGGAAGAAAGACAGAAGGCGCTGGAACCTGAAGCATGGTGTGACCTTTAATCAGGGCTCGTATTCCTAGCAGGCTGTGAAGCAGCTTTGTCTTTACCTGCTCAATGGATTTCACAATGCTGATGCACTGCTTTAATTTGGGAAGCCTTTCTCTTGAGAGGCATGTCTTTTCTTGCACTGAGTCTAAAGTGCTCCCGAGTGTGGCATTCTCTGTGACAGATGTACTACAGTTATGCCTTAGCTGACTCCAAACCCATAGTTTCCTAGTGCCTGAGTGGTGTATTTGAGGTCCAAGAGCGTGTTTCCTTCTAGAGCAGGTCTTTGCTGGAATATCATCCAAGAAGGTAGGAGGGTGTAATCCCTTTGTTCTAAAACAGCCATTGATAAATTCTGTCACCCCACCCCCACCCAAGGCTATTTTTTTCAGAAGGTCTAAAATGCATATGTTGATGTACATAGATGTACATAGATATTAAGAATCCTCTCCTTTTTGAACTTCTCCCAAGGTTGTTCCATTTTCAATTTCACACGACTCTCTGTAAAGATAAAGAACTTCACAAATATTTAAACATCAAATAAACAAGTTTCTATGGCAAATCTCTCATCCATAGATTGGCTTCTTAGAGGATTCTCAGAGTGTTGGTTGACAGTATGGAACGTGATTGGCAGGACCAGCCAGAGCCATACATGTCCATCTGTGATTAATTTGTGTGTCTGTTCCTCACTGATGAAGGACTGTCATTCTTTTCTGAATTCCAACCTTCCTACCATCAGAACCCGTTCCTGAAGAGAAGCATAAAGGTGGCCAGAAGCCATTTCTGTTGGAACACAAGCCACTTGCCTTCTACCAGGAGTCACATCTCCTCCTGCCAGCACCGATGTCTGCTAAAGGAGGCTTTGGTTCTCTTAACTTTTTCTTGCCTATTCAAGAAGGGATTTATTTCCACTTACCAGACAGCTTGCATTCTCTTCTGGTGCCTTGATTAGGTCATATAGGGCTAAAATCTTGGCAAGGGGACTTTTTATATCGTTCTTAGGCCTTAGAGCAACTCTTAAGTTAAAAATATACAAAAGCTCACTGATGTTTAAAGCTCGATTCTACATTTAGAGGAAATTTTGGGAATTAATAGTTGCTTTTCAGCATTTTTACTTGAAATGACAGTCTCATTAATTATTCCACTGCCCCGAACCTGAGAAAAGAAAAGGAATTTGAAGGGTTTTAAAAATTTCTTGTGTTTGCTTTTATTGTAAATATATCTTAGTTTACCTTTCTCTTAGATAACTATCTGTCTTGAATTTGTTAATTATTCTCAATTAACATTTATTTAGTAAAGGCACAGTATGAGCAATCTATGGTAGTAACACTTAACACAGTGCTGTGGCATAATTATTACTGATAAATTAACTGGTTCTTTTTTCCTTTGAATCTTATGAAAACTCTTCAAAATACAGACAGAAATATACTCTTACAATTTGGTAAAGATGGACTTATAATGTCTGAAAATGTTGACTTTTAAATTTTTCTTTTGAGACAGAGTCTCAGTCTGTCACTCTGGGTAGAGTGCTGTGGCATCATCATAGCTCATAGCAACCTGAAACTCTTGGGCTCAAGCCATCCTCCTACCCACAAAGCTGGGACTACAGGTGCCTGCCACAACACCTGGCTAGTTTTTCTATTTTTAGTAGAGACAGAGTCTCACTCTTTCTCAGACTGGTCTCAAACTCCTGAGCTCAAGCAATCTACCAGCCATGGCCTCCCAAAGTGCTAGAATTACAGGTGTGAGTCACCACACCCAGCCTGAAAATGTTGACATATTAAAGACAATCTTTTCTTTAAATGCCTAAGCAAGGATTTGTAACAAGCATTACAGTAAGTTAATACCTGGCTTATTAAAGAGAACTCAAGGACTGAAACATCTGTGCCCTCCCTTTTCCTCGCTGCCTGAGCCCTCCACCCTCCGCCCATTTAGACCACAGGGCAAAGTGTCAGTGGTTTTAGTGCAACAGGTTTCAATAATTGAAATATATTGGTTACAGAGATACAACAAAATTTCCCTTGTTTTAAAGTGGGGTGACATTCTGAGTTGCTATTGTAATCCAAACCTGTTCTGATTTAATTTTGAAAATAGCGTTTACTCTGGGTTTCTTTTAATATAGAAAAGTATAAAGAATAAAAAAATTGTTCATTATCCCATTCTTAGAGATGCCCTCTTAACATTTAGAAATAAAAGCAGTATATTTCCATGACTTAAAATTTCAGTCAATACAGATAGGAACCAAATGAAAAGCAAACACTTCCTTGGTTTTATTTGTTATGAGATTTCTGATTCTAATCTACCTGGGGATGTAGACATATCTACCTGGGGATATGTCCCTAAGAAGACATCAGATTTAATAAAAGAACACTTGTCAGGAGAAAACTAGAAAATAACAAAGGTGAGAACATGCAACATGATGCTCCTTGTAAAAATCACCCTGGATATAAGAGAAGGTGGCAGGAGAGCTCTAAAACGAAAAGCAGTGATGCGCTGGGAAGTCAGAAACAGCTTTTAAGGGCATATCCGAAGTTATCCTAAAGACTGCAAAGCAGTGCTTCACCTTGTTTCTCAGGACTGGTAGATAAGTAATGAGTAATCAGTAACTTGCTTCTCTAAGACCAGGTATGCATGTGTAAAAAGTAAGTTGCAGATAACGTAATAGTGGGGGGTAAGCTGGCCATATCAAAGCCAACTAATTGCATAACTTTCCAGTTCCTTGACCATTTTGTAACACTTTTATAAAATGTTATTAATAGCTTTGATTGATTGTAAGATGTTCTCTGATGCTGGGTTTTAATGATATATACTAGCCACACTTTCATATTATGACATGTATCTGATAAATCAGTGCTGAGATCCACACCTTCCCACCACTAAGTAGTAAATGGTAATGTGACAGTGTGCGTCTGAACTATTCATATAAAGGAGATCACAATATATTTCATCTCTGGAAACTCTTTCTTTCCACAGACCGTGAAAGTCGTGGTACCTTCAAAACCTTCAAGAACACTGTGGAATTATGACTTTGCTATTTATAATGGTGTCGTAGACAAAGCATCCCCAGACTTCTTGGCATTCAAGGAACGTTTTAACTCAGTTTGGGGAAATATTTTTTCTCTCTTGGAGCACATCGAGAAGTTTCTCAGAGACTATGCAATACCAGAAGTCAAAATCAAAGGGAAGAATTTGGTGGCTCTCCTTCCAGAGTTTGAGCTGAAGAATAAACTTACCAAATATGAACTTCTTTCAGTGTTGGAGAATGCAAAAGAAGTCCAAAAGCTGATAAATCTTCCCGGGCAGAGGTACAAGGGTCAGGGCGGAGAGATGGAGGCTGCCATGAAGATCCAAGCCACATGGAAATGCTACACAACAAGAAAGTTCTTTCAGGCGTACCGCCAGCAGAAGTGGGCGTCAGGTGTGATTTCCATCGCTTGGCTTTTATATTGCCATAAGATTCGAGTAAGGAAGATCCTACGGGAATCACGGCAGAGACACCTGGAGAATTTCCGCATTCGAGCCAAGGTGCACAAGGCTGCCAGCTGTTAAGGCAGACCTCCTTTTCTAAACATTTCTTGCTTGAGCGATCGCCATAAGTTGTCTCTTCATCTTCCCCTTCTCTCTCTGACTACCCTCTCCCTCAGCCTCTCATACTTTTTACTTTCTCTCAATGAACAATGCACTAACCCCATGTTTGTTCGTGTATCATATTTTAGACCTAACCAGGAATTTGGCTTTTGCGTCTGCAAAATCTGTTGCAGTTATTCTATAGGAAAAAAGACCCCTTTACTCAGACTGTGGTGGTTCTGTCAGAAAATCAATGTTTTCACTGCTTTACCTTTTCTCCCTATATATACCTTCTGGCACTATAATTTGCTAAGAAAAAAAAATCCTCTCTTGTCTACATTGCTGTCACCACTTTGTCAGAAAGTATTTAAGTTTGCAGACAGCCTTTTAATTAGTGCTCACAATTTCATTTATGTTTGCTTTCTCTTTTTTTCATTCATATTCTGTTAATTAAGTGAGCTGCCTCTAATCTTCCCCTGCCAGTAGCATCATGTAGCCACCTAATTAAATTAATTGGGGAAGATGTTTTAAGTATGTAATTAAATCAATTAATATAATTTATGCCTGGCTTAACTGTACAGTGGAAAAACAGCTGAAGTTTGACTAGATGAATCCACTACAGCTTCCTGTCACTGATCAATGCTCTTCTTGATTTTTAGCATCTGGCAGCCAACTGGAATCGCATCAGGACCTCCAGGAGGACTATTATCCATATCCCATCATTAGGTATAACACTTTTGCCTGCAAATCTATCAGCAACCTCTATTACCCACCACATTATGGCTCCTTGATTGAGTTCAAGGAAGGCCCCTTGTTTTATTCAAATTGGTCTCGGCAGGAAAATGTTCTCAACATGATGAGAGTAATAACACAGGGCCCTCACTTGAAACGGCGTTTAATTTGGGGATTAAGCAAATAAAGTCATTATGTGGGGGCTGCTATTCAGTGGAGAGGTGATTTGCTGTAATTCGCTTTCATCTGTATGAAATGAACTAAAAAGTTGTATTTTTCCCCCTGAAATAACAGATAATGTTTTCCATCTTCTTTAATGATAGAAGAACACAGGCTTGTGTGTGTTGTTGCTGTTACGCCAATAAGCCAGGATATTGCTTGTACACTGTTTTTAATCAAATGTGCAGTCAAAATGATAAGCTACATTCTCTGAAATTATTTAGTTCTAATTACGAGCAGATGGGATGCTTTATTTGCACCTAGGGCGCCTGAGCAAAAGGAAATGCTGTGTGAACAAGAATAATTAAGAAGTTGAATAGTGTTTTTTGCGCTTAAATAATCTGCAGTTTCATGTTAATTAGCACTAATGTAATTATTTAATTACATTTATGAATTGGGGAACTTAAAAGCTGTTGTCTGAAATATACTGGTAAAATAGGTATGCCAAAATGACATGGGAAATTTCAGAAATTTGCATTGGAAGTTCTTTTAAGACATGAACTGCTATCAACATGTTTGGAGTTTGTTTGCTTCTTTATTTTATTTTGTTTTCTTTTGCTTCTACCTCCTATGTTAAGTATTTCTGGCGAGGCCACGTTCCCTAAGCCGACTTAGTACAATTTTGACAAACAGCAAAATCCACTGAATTTCCATATTATGTTTTAGCTCTTTGTTAAGGCCTTTTAGTGAGTGGTCTATTGTAATAGAATTCTGGATTATAATTTATTTGGGCTCACGTGTGAGTATACTTGTTTGTGTAGCATGTGCAGCATAGAAACATAACACATTTAAATACTAATATGGAAAGAAAAAACATTAAAATTATTATATAAATGTAATTAAATTAGTAAAACATTAATAGTGACAAAATAATGCAAACTTTTCAAGATCCTAGAATGAAGATCTACGTACTTATAGAAAAGTTAAAAAATAAAACAAAACACTTGAATTGCACAGAGCCTTTTATTTTTGGCTTTCTTTATGGTTCACAGAAGAAATTCGTTCTTTATTAGGATGTGAGGTAAGACAAATCTGAATTTCATTCTAAGTTAGGGTCTTGTTGTTTTGGTTTTTTTTTTGGTGGGACTACTTTTGCACAAAAAATTAGCTCACACTCAGAAATTGCACTTGTAATTGATTGCAGCCAGAGAGGCTAATTGCAGACCCAATTAGCTGACTGGAGTCCTCAGAATAAGGTACAAGAGGCTTTGCTTCTGCAACTAATTGTGGACCTGACGTGACATTATATAGAAAATTTTGTTTTGCTTTCTTGATTTTATTCAAAACTAGACTCAGAAATAAAGCCCCCACTTAGTTTCCATAAACTTCTTCCCTCCTTCACTCCCACCTCTTCACCCTTCTAAGAACTTCCATGTAGTCAGCACGCAGAGAAGCTTAATACCACAGAGTTGCCAAAGAAGTAAAAATTTGAAAGTAATGGAAATTTTATCTGAAGAATAAAAAATAATTGTAAATGAAAATATCTTAAAATTTCAAAAGGGCTATAAATTAAGAATATATTAAGTAGGAGAATAATCTGGTCAAAGACACTAGAACTAGAAAGCATTATTTTAAATCTGATATTAAAACTAGTTATCTTCTAGATTATACATCTTCAGTTTATATAAATACATAATAAATATGATGATCCTCTCTACTATAGAAATATTTATTTATTAGCAACATAATAGCCATTTTAAAGAAAAACTGCTAATTATATGTTTTCTAAGAGGTAAAAACAAACTCTGATATTTTTCTCGATTGAGCACTTAAAAAGACCATTTAGGCTGGATGCATTGGCTCATGCCTATAATCCTAGCATGCTGGGAGGCCAAAGTGGGAGCATTGCTTGAGGCCAGGAGTTTGAGACCAGCCTGAGCAACATGGAGAGACCCCATCTCTTCAAAGAATTAGCTGGGTGTGGTGGCACATGCCTATAGTCCCAGCTACATGGATGTCTGAAGTAGGAGGATCACTTGAGCCCAGGAGTTTGAGATTGCAGTGATGTATGATCACACCACAGCAATCTAGGCTGCACACTAGAGTGAGACTCTGTCTCTAAAAGTCAAAACCAATAAATGGTTGCACATTTTTTCACAAGAAAGTAATACTTGGGTTTTAATCCTATAATATTTCTTTCTACAACCTGTGTTTTAGGTTCTATAAAAATGACTTGCAGATGTTAAATTAAGTTTAGTAATAGCCAACTGTCACCTCCTACTTATTCCACAGACAGAATTCTCAAGCTATAGCTTTTTTTTGAAGATATGGGGTGCCTATTTTTCATGTACCATATCCCCTAGGAATCCTTCAAGATTTCGGGTATATACAATAGGCTTCTTTGTCAACATGCACCAAGGGCTTACCTATATAGTTCATAAAAATAGTACTTGGGAGGCTGGGGTAAGAGGATCATTTAAACCCAGGAGTTTGAGGTTGCTGTGAGCTATGATGCCATAGCACTCTACTCAGGGGGACAGAGTGAGACTCTTGTCTCAAAAAAAAAAAAAAGTAGACGAAAGTGAAGCAATTTTTCTCTCTAAACATGCTGCAAAAATTCCCTAATCTATTCAATCAAATAATTTCATTTCCAGTGTTGAGACTAATTCATGAGTCAAAATCAGGAGGATTATCAGTTTCAGGCAGGCATTTAACCAAGTTGCAGCCTTGCCCTCTGTTTCTCTTTCCATAGGAAATTTGCTGTAGAATTAGCTCTACACATAATTACACCAGGTCTCTAGCCAATTGAGGCTGTACTAACTTGTTTGAACCCTTAAAGTGAAAGCTAAGTAGCTGATAACTGCATAATATATTGTAGTTGTAGGCATTTGGTTATTCGTTTATGCAGTTTTGCACACATGGGAATAATTACATTCTCCATACTGGTGATCACAGAAAGGATAGCCTTTTGGTAATGTTTCTGACCACAAAATTTTTATAAAGTATTTTGTTATCCATGGCTTGATAATATGAACATTAAGACAATTACACATTGTAGAGTAACCTCTTTAAAGGAGTAGTAATGAAGCTTAATTGACTATTATATATTTCAGGTAGTATTCCTAAATGTAACAAACATTTTTAGCGATTTTCAACCCACAGGAGAGGAAGAATGCTGTTGACTAACGGTCCAAAAAAACTAATTGGCCTTGTAATTTTATAACAAAAAAGTCCTTCTTTCCAAAATATATAGGCTGACCTCTTAATTGGATATTGCATATTTTTATCATTTTCATTTATTAAGTATGATTATAAGAAAATCATCTACAGTGGTTCATAGGAATGGAATATTAGGGTCTATTTTAAGTGAAATCTATTAGTCAAATAAGAACAAACTACAACAAAGAATCCTAATTCCTCTGGAAAAAACCTATGTTCAAATAAAACCTACAAACTAATTTCACTTCCAGTTTCTTTGTCCAAGCTATTTCCTGCACTTTTAATTTAAACCCTGTATTTCTTTATTAGGGCGCATCACTTGTTGCGACATATAAACTCAGTGGCATTTTAAAATATATAGACATCAAATGAGTTGTGCTGAGTATGTGGCTCTGATGCTGTGAGCAGGTATACAAAGCCACTGCCAGTCAAATAAACCCCCAGGGTTAAGTTTCCCTTCATAGGTCTCTTTCTCCTTTAAAAAAAAAAAAAAATAGGAGATGTATTGAGATAGGATTATTTTCTTTTCTCCAAGTAATCTTTCACTTCATTGCTATAATTTATTTAATGACCAAAAGGTAGATATATAGTTCAACTTCTTATTTTTTCTCTTGGGGTATTATTTCAGCAAATTATCCTTAGGATTAAAACAATTAGTGGTCCCTATAAAAATTGGGGGTCTTGTTATTCTGAAGTTCATGAAAAGCAACATTTTCCCAGCTTTTATGTATAGTCACAAAAGCCTAAAAGAAAAGATAGGAAAATTTACTTTTGTGTGCAACTGACAAAGTCCCAAGTGCACATAAGATGGTTGCTTCCTGATTCTATTCTCTCCTCCCAGGAGAAGAGAACTTGAACTCACCTCCATTTGTGGAGAGTGGCAAGGTAGAGGATGGCGGCCATGAATATTAGATCTGAAATCATCTTTTTACTGTGCTTCTAAGCACGTTGGCACCTTTCTACTTTCTCATATTTGAGTTGACAACTCAGAGACAAGACACACTCTGCTCCTTCCACCTCGGGCTGGGAAATCAGGACTTCCAGTCCAATCTTTGCTGCCTTGAAGATATATTTTGGCAATAATATGGAGTCTGTAGTTCAGCTATAGCGTTGCCACACCAGATCTTTGGGACAGCATTTCCCTAAAATATCTTAGGTCTTTTGAGATCAGGAGCAAAGTACACTTAAACCTTAAAACATTTTTATAGCCCAAACTAAAACATGTTTGTATTCATTCATGTTATATTTATCCAAGTAATCCAAATCAGTACTCATTCACTGGTTAGATCAGATTTGGGCCCATGACCCTGTAAGATGTCCAATTGCTCTTGAACTATCTGATGTTGTGCCATGAAACACAGAAACAGCACTGAAGTGGATGTCAAGTATTCCATGCTCTAAAAAGAATTTTGCATCTTCTAAGACAAAACTATAATCTTTGTGATCTTCATTCTCATAAGGAATATTAAAATGTTTCTTCAGTGATTCTCAAGCTCTTTGGTCTCAGGATTCCTTTTCATTCATGATGATTATTGAAGACCCTAAAGAGCATTGGTATAAGTAGGTTATATCTATCATTATTTACTGTATTAGAAACTAAAATGGAGAAACTTTTA